CTGGGGAATTCTGGGAGTTGAAGTCCACTCATCTTAAAGTGGTCAAGTTTGGACAACACTGCCTTAGGAATACTGTAGTGCTGGATTTGGACAAGCGTTCCCCACTTCTCCCAATATAAGTTACTGTTATGGTTTTTCAAGGGATAAGTCTGGCCCAAAAGATGAAGTGAGCCTCCTTCTTGTTGGTCCAAGTGATTATTCATAATCTGTTCATGCTGTTGGCTGTGGAGTATGTTCAGTTCTGAATATTTCTTCATCAGATCAGAAGTGCCAAACATTTCAGGTTTAGCAGACAAAATCAGCCGTAAGCAAGAATCAGGGTCTGGCCCTTCCAAACTCTGTGATGGTGTCCTCAAGAGCTTGTCATCTGATGATGAAAGGGTTCAAAAGACATGCTTAGGGCCATCCTCTGAAATGCAATGGAGTGGAGTGCACAAGAGAGGTTGTACATTGAAATCTCAATCTATCAGATCGGTTGGGTCACCAGTCTGTTGTTTCCAAAGATCTGTTAAATATGAAAGTGTGTTATTTGTGTCAATTTACATCATTGGCATAATGACTCAAATGATATCCTTTGCATAGGCCAATGCCATAAATCACTTCTTGGGCTTTTGGCTAAGATCAAGTATCAGATCATGTAAATCCAACTGCCTCATTCTGATTTCTTTGGATGTAACGGACTCCTCCGTTATTTCAGGAGGATGTCCAGATGGATGCTTGTTCCCTTGAATCTGAAATTGCTTAAATGTTGTCTCTTAAATTAAGGTTTTACTGTATTCATATTCCCTTTCTGGGAATAGCAATAGCCTTTACGAAGCCCGTGAAGAATTACAATCATTCTGTTTGGCCCCCAAGAGAATTACTATTCAATCTGAGAGACATCATGTTACGAAAGCTGTCTTGAAATAATCAATAAGGGCATTTTTGCAATTAGGTAAACTTTCCCTGTTCTCCCCACTGCAGCATTGTCATAAACGTTATTTATCACCTATACCTGCTAGATACCTAAATAGAAATTCAAAATGTTTGCACTCATTTTTTCAGAGCCATTTTAAAAGCCTAATTTTTTTTTTAAAGAACTGTAACCACCCATCTTTCCTCCTCCTGCTCAGCAAAGCCGCCATCCAGGCTGTCCAAGCACAGAACCAGATCTGCATCCTCGACATTGACATGCAGGGGGTGAAGAACATCAAGAAGACTGACCTGAATCCTATCTACATCTCGGTTCAAGTCCCATCCATAGAAATCTTGGTGAGAGGTGCATGGGATTGGGTTACAATTTTCTGCAGTGGTGGTTTTAAGTTACTGGGGTGTTGGTTTTTGCAAAGGTTTACAGCAGAATTAGTGACTGTAGCGACTCTGCAATTCAAAATCCACAGTTGGAGATCAGAATAAGAGTAGTCCTACTGGATGAGGCCTCAACCCTTCATAATCCAGCATTTTGTCTCCTATAGTGGCCACCCAGATCCTTTTGAGATGCTTGCAAGCAGAAGATGGAGACTGTCCTTTCCTATGTTGTTCTTCTCCAACTCAGAGGTAGTATGGAGTCTTCAAGACTCCTCAATAGCCCTGTACCCCATGTATATATCCACTCCCCCTTTAAACCAAGCCAATCTGGTGGCCATCACCACGTCTCATGGGAAGGAATTCCACTGAATGTGCGCCGTACAGAGAAGTATTTTCTTTCCTCTGTTCTACATCTGGTTAGGGTTGAAATTCAACAGCATCTGGAGGAGCTCATTGGGTGCCAAAAGACAAGTATAGATAAAGCATTTCCCGAATTTTTGATCAATTTCCTGTCAAACCAATGGATGGTGAAGGCAAGACTTCAATGTTCCGGTCATAAAGTCTGCATCTATTTTAGAAGTCAGGGAGGTAGCTGGGAATCAACAGAATCAAGCTGTGTGAAGTGCCACGGACATTTCAGGTTACACCGATAGCTGCAGAGACCCTAAAAGATCCACAAGAATTCACTGGGGATGAAAAAGATGAGCTTCTGTTATAAATGTTTTGGAAGCTCTGATCACCTGTGGTTGCAACAACCAACTGGAGCCTTTTAAGCTAAAATGCTTCATTATGATCCACCTGTCTCTTTTTCTGTTCCTCCCATCCTGAAGATGCAGGGAATATGACAAAGAGAAACTGTTCCTCCTAGTGTCTAGGTCAGTGTTTCTCAACCTTGACAACTTTAAGATGTGTGGATTCAACTCCCAGAATTCCCCAGCCACCTCACTGGCTGGGGAATTCTGGGAGTTGAAGTCCACGCATCTTAAAGTTGCTAAGGTCAAGAAACATTGGTCTAGATAAAATAGCTTCTGCATCATTGCTAACCAGAAAAACAATCAATGCAGTCAACCAGCTTTCTCCAATCTGCCTCCTCCACCTGTAAGTGGACCTGCTGCTCCCAGAATTCCCAGGCTGGCTGGGAATTCTAGGGATTGCCATTCCAGCACTTTGAAAGAAAGCTGCAGTAGAAAAGCCAGTTGTGGGGCTGGTTAGGTGTGATGACCATGGCCTGTTTTTAAGAGAGAGAAATTTTTAAAAAATTCACTGCAGTTCCAGTTTTGTTTTTCTTCTCTCCTCCATCCCAAGTATGAATTATCCCTGGAGAACAACTGGCGAAGTTTGCAGCTTCGTTTTAGGTTGCATTCAAGTAACCAGCATCCTTTTGTGCTGCACTGGATACAGGTCGTCCTCGTTTAGCAATGAGACAATTGGGACTGGCAACTCGGTCATTAAGCGAAGCAGTCACTAAGGGAAACTGCTTTCAGCTTCCTTTCACTTTCCTTTGCTTTACAGACCTGTGAAGGTTGTAAATGCGAGGACTGGTTGCAAAGTTACTTTTTCATCACCGTTGTAACTGCGAACAGTCACTAAATGTGATGGAATGGAATTATGAAGGCCAGACTCAGGGAGGAAAACATGTTCTTTCACCTCCTGAGGAGCGAGGGAGAGATAAGAGGATGAGGCTGGCAGCTCCCTGAAGAATTCATAGTGTTGTGACTGGCGTTACTTGGGAGCTGGGGTTTCAATCTGGGAAGATTCTTGCTAGAGGTTGTAGCTAATAAAC